AATAGGTAAAAAAGCTAACCCTAAAGAAGTTAATTTTGCCCCATTTTGAGCGAGATTTGGGCGCGCCAAAAAGAAGCGTGGTCCCACGAGCTCGCTACGTGCAATCAGCATTGTCGTCAAAGGGTTGAAGCAACAACCCCAGATGAGTTCGTGTTGAACAATCTATTCTGTAGGTGGGATAGAGTAGCCCACGAGTATCACAGATGTGCCGTTGTCGCGGCTCGAAAATGTGCGACAATGGCGCTAGGGCCTTACAAAGTGAGCTAGTGATAAGTAATGAAAGCTAATGGACGAAATGTCTCGCGCACAGCTCACGGCACGCAGCGTGGATTACGTCGTAGGCCGATGTCAGACTTTGCGAATCGCGCGATTCGCTGACATCGGCCGTAGTGGGTAATCCAATACGCGCGGGTTAGTGGAGCCATAGAGCAAACAGGTTTAGATAACTCGTCCAGAACGCCCCTTCACATATCAAGGGAAGAGTCCTGGTTTAATGACTTCATCGACGGATTGCTTCGCTTCTTTTATCACTTGCAGTCAATCAGCAGGCACATCTCCATTATGGGTCGCTGTTACCCCACCGATTTGAACTGGAGTTGTCTTAACGGGGCACTGAGTTATACTTGACCACAATTTTAAAACGACTCCCTCATCAAACGATTATAGAGGCCAACAATAAAGACCTAACACCCACTCGCAAAAAAGACCAAATTCAGACGAATGTGAGCATAGCAATGTAGTGGTCCCATAGCTGTTACGAGACTAAACGGCAGGAACTATGCCGAAGTTTGCAGAGTCATCAAGAATGAAGTTCCCCAGGCGACAGATGTACGTTTGCTGAGTTGTTGGTAATCGTAACGCTAAGGGGACGGAAATGATGTGATCTGAGGTGTCCAAATTTTGTTGGTCCCCGTGTTTTTGCTGCGGATAAATCAGATTAAAACGAGGCCGGGAAAATTCCATTGGCCCAAGTGAAAAGGAAATCAAAAATCAACAAATGAAAGTGGTTTTCAGCAGTTCTCTCACAAATGTATGCATGGGCAAAACAAAACTAATAAGTAGGAGATTACTGTGTGCAGGAATGTGGCCCTTAAATAATGCACTCACTCCATTTTGCTAATCCGCTCACAAAAATAATGAATCATGATTGTTTTCAAGATTTTGGCTATAAAAGAAAACGAATGCCGGCAAGTGAAGATCCTTTGCAACGAAACGAATGTCAAAAGTCTGCAAGTGATCTTTCAGATGAAACACGAATGGTTAGTTCAATTTGCTAAACATATGTCAGTAAATTGTTCAGCCTAACCCTGATTTACTTCTTTC